TCTGAGGAATAAGGCTAATACTACCATCTTATCAATGTGGATAATGTTCCTCACTAATGCACTGAACAACTTACATAAATGGGAAAAATTAAAGCACATGCATTGCATGATGCAATGCAGAGGGAATTATGACAATGGATGATAATTTTTATATTTTTTTCTATATTCCAGGCAGCATTATCCTTTGTGCTGCCTAATTATCACATTTCATGATTGCATTCCCATGCCACCTATGGGTAGAGACACCATAACCACAAGACATTGTGCCTAGCACTAACTTGCCTATGATGCCTCAGCATTCCAACCATTACATACACCAGCTTTGGTTTGCCCTCTACAAGACTGACCTGAATTAGCACAGGATATCTTAACAGTGGCAAGGGCCCATATATCAAGGAGAACTCCTTGTTAAAAATGACACTTGCCCTCAGCCAACAAAGCACAGCAAGGCCACATCAAGGTACTGAATGACACATTTAAGTTACTTGCTTCTACCTGGCTCACCAGCCAAAAAAATTGCCTGTTGGTGAAATCTATTGTGTTGGTATGAGATCAGCATCAGGAAGTTCATAAGTAACAGGGAATGACTCAAATGCTATAGCCATTCCTACAAGACATTTGAAAAAATGCATATAAACATTTCATTAACATAGGAAACATCCAAGACCAGATCTTACCTGTTTCTTACAATATTCTTGTATCGGTTTTGGAGCATTGTCAAGTTTTCCAATTCCATGGTTGCCAGATTTCCCAGCTTGCTCTCTGGTTCAGGATTCTGTGCATATGCCTTGCTTGCATTGTTCATATTTTTCTGCTTAACAGTACAGCTTATGGGTCATATTAAAAAACATAATCACAACAGAAAAAGGGAAGCTTTACCAATGTACAGGGTTTTGGATTGACATACTATGCCTGTCATGCAGTGAGATCTGTGTCTGCAAATAAGGTGTATATATATATATATATATATATATATATATATATATATATATATATACCTTACATATACCCAAACATTCATCTCAGGGCCAGTGGAACTTTCCATGATTGAGGAAAATATATTTCCATGTATCTCCCTACGTCATGCCGGAGGAATACATGTTTATTTCAATTTATACCCAAAGTTGTTGGGAACAGCTGGTACAAGTTGGTAGTGTGTACATACATGTGCATGTATGTACGCGCTTCTCGGTTGGGTAGCGTGTACATGCACGTCAGTGCGCGGACATTGACGGCCTCGTCGGAAGTGACAGGCTTACTACTAGTTACAAAAGACAAGCATGGGTCATGGAAACATGGATCAACATGGGCATGTAACGATCCTGGGTGTCGCGTGACGACAATATATACCCTGAGATAGATCTGGACGCCACCCACCCACCAAAAGCATGCGAGCCACTGAGGCAGCGTGCATTTCTCACCTGGTTACAGACATCCTTGATATGCAACATGTACGCCATAATTGACTCACAGCGGTGTGACGTCACATTGCGCAACAGCGATTCTAAAGCGCCTAGCTGGTTTCGAATAATCCAATTATCAGCTACGTTAATGTCTGTGTACGTCTATGTGTATGGGGAGCATGTGACACACGGGGGCACATGTCAGTCTGATTAAAGTAGGGCGTGTATAGCAATATGTGCGTGAACAAAAATGTTTCCGCCGCAAAGGGAGACACGGGCACTTAATCATAGCGCCTGATGTTTTCTGTATGCCGCTCGGCATACTTCGTGCGTCTACCGCGCAATAGAATGTGTTGTCAGTAAACTTTCAGTAATGCACCCTCCCCCTTCATCGCGAAATCCCGCTTACGTCCCTGCGCCGCACCAAACGGCGGAGGTTTTCGACTTATCAGTGACCCGCAGGTTCAGATAGATCAGGCATCAGTTGCCGATTCAAGTTTGCTTTTTTTGCTTTTAATATCCCTGAGTTTATAAGGCCAGCCCACGATCGCTAGCCGCGTCAAACAAACGTAGGATTATCCGGCAAACAGCACACGCGGTGTGAATGCTCGGTAAGCGATGAGCGAAGTGATGATCTCAACTAAGACACACATCGTCGCGTTTATTCAACAATATCACCGACACAAGTCATTTGAAGTCCCATAGGTCCTTCGCAAATATTACAATGACATTTACAAAGTTATCATGGCCTCACGACACCCAATGCCCAAGGGCACGGAATGCTGCTCAGACAAGCTCACAAACCCGACAAAGGGAGTCGTCCAGCAAAACCGTGTCGCACCTCGAGAGCACGCAGTGGTGCGAGACAGCGGCAAAGCATCACTTCCACTCCCATATGTTCAAAATGTTATTGACATGGGAGCCGGACCGCCATGACTCGTCAGCAGGAAGTGCGTGCTAACTGTCTGGCAAAGACTTCGCCGGTGACCGCGCTAACCGCCGGCGACCGGGCTCACTGCCGGCGACCGGGCTCACTGCCGGCGAACGGCCTCACTGCCGGCGACCGGGCTCACTGCCGGCGAACGGCCTCACTGCCGGCGACCGGGCTCACCGCCGGCGAGCGCGCTCGCCGCCGACGACCGGGCTCACCGCCGGCGACCGGGCTCACCGCTGGCGAGCGCGCTCACCGCCGACGACGGGGCTCACCGCCGACGACCGGGCTCACCGCCGGCGACCGGGCTCACCGCCGGCGAGCGCGCTCACCGCCGATGACGGGGCTCACCGCCGACGACCGGGCTCACTGCCGGCGACCGGGCTCACCACCGGCGGCAGCCCTGCCGCGGACACAGACCGCTGCCGGGAAGAGGGGACCCGTGAGACGGTCCCGCGGGCTAGCTGTCGACAGGGCTGGCGCACCGCTCACAAGCGGGGCGCATGACGGTGAGCCGCTGGAGTCTGTCGGGGTCACCAGCGACCGATCGCAGGCCGAGTCTGACGTGGACCGCCGCCCAGCTACCGGTTACAGGAGAGGCACACGGTCACGTCATCGTGCCGGTCGTACCTGGAAAGCGAAGGGTCCAGTCAGGCACCGCACATCCAAGCACAACACCCTTCATCGGGCCTGGTGGCGCGCTGTGCGCTAACAAAGAAGACGAACACGCGATCGGGGACCAGCCAGGTAAGGCGGTATCTATTCTCTCCCCATCAGGCTCAAATTATCTAAAAAATACATATATAACTTATCTCTACGAAAAACGATCACACGTGGTTCGGCACTACGGTGAAAACCACACACCAGCAGCAGCAAGAACACCAAAACATGACCCACCTTGTGGATTATTCTATCGTCACAGTTACTAGTGTTGGCAGCACAGGTGGTCGCCAGGCGATTTAGTGATGTTCCGGACATAAAAATGCACTCCAGAAAAAACCGAGAGTTGGAAACCATTCCCAAACCCAATGCTTACACGACGACTCGGCAGTGTCGGCAGTAGTTGCCCATACAGCGGCAGCAGCTGGCGATACAAGTGCCGCACAGCGGCGACTCGCAGAAGCTGCATGGGCCGGTAGGCGGCGCACCGCTCCGGCACGTGGAGCACGTGGCATATGGCTCAGCCGTACCGCCGGCCACCTGACGGCGGGATAATCGATACCAGTCGATGACAACATTCATACAGGCTCTGGACACAGTAAGGGACATCACTGACGGTTGGCACAGGCTCCAGACACAGTGAATGGACGTCACCGGCGGCTGGCACAGGCTCCGGACCCAGTGAGGGACATCACCGGCGGTTGGCACAGGCTCCGGACACAGTGAGGGACACCACCGGCGGTTGGCACAGGCTCCGGACACAGTAAGGGACATCACCGACGGTTGGCACAGGCTCCGGACCCAGTGAGGGACACCACCAGCGGTTGGCACAGGCTCCGGACACAGTGAGGGACACCACTGGCGGTTGGCACAGGCTCCGGACCCAGTGAGGGACATCATCAGCGACTGGCGGTCATGCGCTGTCTTGAATGTGATTGTCTCTGTGGAGCAGAGGCAGAGATTGCCTCTGTGGTAAATTGATCACACCACACTGGAACTGATCACCAGGAGAACGCATAATGCAAATGCAAAGATCACATGCGCCTGGTAAAGGAAAATCATCATCAGGCACACAACCTCTCATTTCACTTTTTCCGACCACTCGTCCCACCTGACTGCTGGCCGCGGCGCCGGTATAGCAGATCCCGCCGCGAGGAGTCAACGCCATCTGTCGGAGACTGTTCATCCTAGGAACTTCCATTGCAGGGGATATTGTTGACTTGGTCACTGATGTAGGCACATTGTTATTTAACAAATTTCTGGATCCATTGAAAAGCATCTGCATTGTTTTAGCTGAAACAAATGGACACCAACTGCCAGTGATTTGTTCAATAATGTTTTATTGGAGTGTAGTTAACACACACAGATCTAAAATATAACCTTATCACCTATTGTGTATTGTTATTGTATTGTAAGGTGATGAAATGACAGTCTAGGGTGCCAGTCTGGGGCATTAGTCTATGGTGCCTGTCTGGGGTCCAGTCTGGTGTGCTAGTCTAGGGTCCAGTCTAGGGTGCCAGTCTAGGATGCCAGTCCATTGTGCTGGTCTGGGGTGCCAGTCTAGGGTGCCAGTCTAGGGCACCAGTCTAGGGTGCCAGTCTAAAATGCCAGTCTAGGCTGCCAAATGCCAGTCTTCATATTAAATGATAGTACTTCCATGGTCTCAACATCTTAAAATATGGAGCACTTAGTCTGGCTTTATCAAGAATAATACATAGTTAAAACCACTGGGATACTTTGTAAAGAACACAATGGGGGGGAACAATTCTATATTCACCTCAGCTATGTACATATTTGTGAAACCCCCAAAAATCATGTCAGGATGTTTCAATGTATACATTACTACTTTTGATTTTAACATAACTGAATATGCTATATGTTTTCAAACAGGTGCTGTAACATATTTTCCAACTCCAAATAAAATCCCTATTCAACCACCCTCACCAATCAGCAAAACCCCTGAGGCCAGCCCGCGAAAATGCTTTCCAATGCACAGGATGCTTACCATCAGACTTGTGCACTGAGCATGAAACAAACTTGTTAAAACACAGGCCTGGCCAAACTGAGATAGGTTTTTTAAACAGTTTTGCCTGGAAATGTTTTGATTGGGTTTTTTTCCTAAGAGATGCAAGCAACATCAAAATTATTTGACCCTCTCACTCTATACACTGACATTGGTAGTGATCATTGTCTTAACTCTGTGTGCTTGGATTTATTATGTGCATGCCCTGAAATAGTTGCAAGGACATTATTGCTACTCCATTCATGCTTCATGTATCATGTATTTCTTGTGGCTAAGCCATAATGTTGTTGGTCAGTAGGGAAATGTGACCCAGCACAAACTTTGATGGCTAGCAATTTGTGAAAATACTGGTTGTACGAACACCAAAACTGGCCTTTACTTGGTGGACATACCACACATAATCAGAATTCATCTAGACTATAAATTTTTAAAGATTGATAGGTTAACTCTGTGCCACAGGATAATAAAATGGGTGACAATCCACCACAAGTGGTGGTGTCCATAGCAAACAAAGCATGACATTGGGCCAAAGAATGAAGAACTTCAATCAACAGATTAAAGCACCCTGTCCAGAATGATTAAACAAATGCAACTTGCAAGTCATATGTAAGACACACTTGACAAACCATACAAATAGCATATGATCATCATCATTCAGAAGCACCTGTATCCTCAATAACAGCACTAATGCATGACACCACTGTGAACTGGTCAAGCATTAATGTAACCATCAGGCCACAAGAATGTGCCAAAAACATGTGTAGTCCTGCTCAGAACAACAGATGTTTAGAAGCCCTTCATTTTATCAGTTAACTCTCACCCCTCCCCACACACCCAACAGCAGGCAGCTCTCATGATGGTATGGCCTTCCAGTGCAAAACATTTTTTCTTACCATACACTGCTTGCATTTTATCATTGCTCTGAACACCCAGGTTGACCTCTTTCTCGCCAACATGGAGCTTGCGTTGGTTTGTAAAATGGTCTTCGAATGGGTATGATCTCTTCATGACAGGCTTCGATATTAAGTCACGGTTGTAATGCCTGTGATACCAGCCAGCACCAAATGTATGGCGGGATGTTAAACAACACCTTGGCCGTTACCGAGGTTGTATGAGGACTTCCTACACAAGCTCACCGAACGCACAACGCCAAGCGTGTTTGTCCTGGATTAAGGCGCACACACTCAAGCGCCCCAAGCTCTGGCGCCACATACGGCTCAGATGCGCAGCGCGCGATTTTACAAGAGCTCTACTAAATCGTCTTCTTATGTTTTATATCAGTGGATCTTTTACAAAATATTCATATTCAAAGCTATTGTTTATCAACAAAAAAACCATTCACTGTTATTTGCTGAGTTTTTGACCATTCAATTCCTCTAAAAGGCAAGACACCATATGCACATTTTCTGGAATAATCTAGACTTTTCCGGACTACTTGACTACCCCGTATAAATCGGCGCAGCGGTGCGCTAGTCCAATCATTGAGAAACGTAAATGAGTGTCGGGGGGTTGACGATTACATTACTTTGTTGACCTGCCTTTATACGGCGTTGCCCGGACAGCTATGATCGTTTGAAGATAAGTGGACTGAAAAATTTGGATGGAGGAGACTTGTCTGTTAGTGTAACCAAATACACGTCTGCGTACCGAGCAAGTGTTGAAGACCTCGCTGAAATCAGGAAGTGGCATTGCTGATCTTGTTTCGAACAGTAACGTTACATCGCCATGGCTGAATATCTGGCCTCGATTTTTGGAACAGAGAAGGACAAGTAAGTTGCTTCAGATCGGTTGGTTGCCTCTGCCTGATAAAGCTTCGTGGTAGCCTCCTGGTGACCTCTAAACATCCCACTGCTCTGACCTCCCTGACATCCAAGTACCCCATAGCTGGAAGCAATAGTTGTCCCACGCGAATCATTTGATTAGTTGGTTTCTTTATAATCATGAATAAATGAACACTTTTGTTCATCGATACCATCTCACATTTCACTGGAGTCATTGGCAGAATCCATCACAGGAAAATTCTTTGAGTGAGAATATAGAATTTATTTCATTTTGAACAGTATGCACAAAGTTGGAATCTGGACAGATCCAGGGTCAGAATATGTTTTTCTCCATAAAATTGGAATCAGCAAAATTCAAAGCCCAACTAAAGAAGTACCATTATTAAGTTTTTTCCAGTGTTTGTAGACCAACTGGCTTAACACATGTGCATGTAGTTGGTTAAATACCTTTTGCCTGGGAATGGTCTATTTGACCCCCTGTGATCCCAGAGAGCAATAGAGCTAGGAACACCAAATCTGCAGGCTGCATTGACCTGTACATTAACTCGCTTCATCAATTACGTGCTCTTAGGTCATGACCTTTAGATCAAATAGGGTCAAACCAGGTCAAACTCCAGATTGCTGTTCAAAGTGCCCTAGATCCTAGATACCTGTCCTAAGCAAAATATCACTGGTGCTCATTTAAGGTCAGCTACCCTGTTTGACCTTTCAGAGGTCTTGGTAACCAATAGCAGTCAAGACTGCTTAGAGTTTTGCATTTCAGTAAGCATCAACTATTCTGCTGGGCTGTATGTTACTGAAAGCAAAATGTTGACCTGAATTGTTTTAGGACAGTGACCTATCATGACCTTAAAAATGTGTATGGGAAATCTATAATGTAATTCCTATTCTCAAGAAAATTATGAGTGCCAGAAACCACCTTAAACAGCAAGCCCTAGACTAATAAAACAGGTTGGGTTTGACCTAGTTTTGACCTTCATTCCTGACCCTAGGTTAATGGAATTTGTTCACTCAATTGCTGTGTTGCCTAAGAAACTATCTCAGATATATGGCTTCATCTAACACTCCATTGTTGCATCAGATTGAATGTTTCCCAAGAAATCGTCTTCACTGAATCCATTACCTAACTTTGACTTGCTGTAGGTCAGGGTCCTTCCAAGGCACATCTAAATTTTTGTTACCAAATGGTCTGCTATTCAGTTGTCTACAGATACATCAAATTTAGCGCTGTTATGTCATGTCGTTCCGGAACCCTTTCTGGAAAAACGTTCGCGTGTCAAATTGGCCTCCCTCCATCCAGCGCATGTTAAAAGTGGCTGCAGCCAGTATGCAAGATGTGAACTGGCCCAACATCCTCAACATCTGTGATGTGAGTTTTCCCATGCAAAATTATGCAATGTGAACTTTTTTGTTCAATGCAAAATTAGTTTGCATGAACTTTTGCTCCAAAGTTAACATAGGTGAACTTTTGCAAGGCATACTTTCCCTCGATGAACTTCTGTCCGACGAAACTCCCTCGGATGACCTACGGTCCCATGAACGTCGTCGACGAATATTTTCCGGAAACAGCAGTGTGGTCGACTTAGGCCACATTGCTCACACGTGGGTGCCTGTCTGTTCCTCGCAGGGTGAATTGTTCCTTCTACTTCAAGATCGGCGCGTGCCGGCACGGCGAGCGCTGCTCCCGGCTGCACAACAAGCCCACCTTCAGCCAGACGATCGTGCTGCAGAATCTGTACGTGAATCCGCAGAACTCGGCCAAGTCGGCCGATGGCAGCCACCTGGCCAACATCTCCGAAGAGGAAGTGCAGGAGCACTTTGACAACTTCTTCGAGGATGTGTTCGTGGAATGTGAGACTAAGGTGAATAGTCGATATCAGTGTGTGTCATAAGGTTACCCTGCGCACTACTGATGATAACACTTCCGTTTTACTCGTTCTCATGGTGTCTGGATGGGTGACATTAGCTGGCAACGCATGTTGGGATTGTTTTATGTTTAAAAGGTACGCTGTGTGATCTTGAGCAGATGGTGACACTCCTTCGGAAAACGGTGTTTTATGGGTGGCTGCCGTGACAATTGCCCCCGCCTTGGTACACATTATGCTGATAAGCACCCAGAGCGTTTGCGGCTCCGCACTGACGTCAGCCTCTCCCCTCGCCGCGCAGTACGGCGAGATCGAGGAGATGAACGTCTGCGACAACCTGGGCGACCACCTGGTCGGCAACGTGTACATCAAGTTCCGACGCGAGGAGGACGCCGACAAGGCGGCAGAGGAGCTCAACAAGCGCTGGTTCGGCGGCCGGCCGGTGCACGCCGAGCTGAGTCCCGTGACCGACTTCCGCGAGGCCTGCTGCCGACAGTATGAAGTCGGGTGCGTCACGTGACTTTCGGGCCGGCACATGGCAGTGTCCGGTGACCATGTGGGATCCTGAAGCCTTGTATCGGAGTCTGTCTGAGCGCGGAGCATGTGTCCAGGTTTGCAACACTGGATGTCAAAGAATGTTGGGCACCCATCTAGGATATGTAGCGACCATGTGAAATAAGCTGATAATTTGCTCAATGGCTATAGGGCACGTTTTCCTATTTATACCTGAGAGCAAAATTTTGTCTTTTCATGTGAAATTTCCGCCCTTTGGGACTGTATTCCACGTTATTTGCGTAAATGCGGGCATGCGATGCAATGCCCGCATTGCATTGCATTAGAGGACTTCCACGGTGATAACGTTGTGCTGCTGTTTGACCGATCCCATTCCGTTCTCTCCGCAGCGAGTGCACCCGCTCCGGCTTCTGCAACTTCATGCACCTGAAGCCGATCTCGCGCGAGCTGCGCAAGGAGCTGTACGGCCGGCGCGGCCCGGCCTATGTGGGCGGCGGGCGGCGCCGCTCGCGCTCGCGGGACCGCGGCAGCGGAGGAGGCCGTGGCGGGTTCGACCGCGGCGGCGGCCGCTACCGGCGCTCTCGCTCCCGGGAGCGCCGTCGCTCGCGCAGCCGTGACCGCCGCGATCGCGAGGGCCGCGCCGGCCGGTACTAGCAGCCGGTCGCCGACCACGCCGCGGTTTCGAGCGGCGGCCCTGGAAGTCGAGGTGCGCGAAGTCCGCGGCAGATGGCAGCGCGGCGTGAGCGCTCACGCGACCTCGAATGCAGCGATGGAGTGACGAGTGGGATGGTTGGGGTGGGCTGGGAAGGGGAAGGCTGTGTGAAGATGGTGTGGACCAAGGTTTCCCTGTGTTTGTGTTGCGCTGTAGTGGGTCGGTTTTACGGCTGCGCGGCGCCATCTTCAGGTATTTGGTGCGCGAGTGTGGTGTGCATCATCCATGAACCGGGGAACGTCTGCAGTGTGTCAACGGCCGGCGAACGTCGTCCCCCGCCGGCCGCGTTCCCAGAAGCCCGACCAGAACCACCTGACAGTGCTCGCCGCCGGGTGTCGTTCGTTGGGAATACATGCTCATCATCACAGCCGTCTGTGCAGACTGGCACACCTGAAGGAACATCGTTCTGACGGGAAGAGCCCACCGATACTGTGAGCAAGCCGTGCCTCCCCCGCGTTCTCTCGGCGGCTCAGGGACTGTGTCATCCGTCGCCGGCCGCACCGCCGCCGAAGGTCCCCGTGTGGTCGGCGGAATGGGGCCGGAGGGGCGCGCGCCCCGGCCGCTCGTGATTGGCCGATTTGCAGCGCTCGGCGCGGACGCTATCTGCGTCAGTTAAGCCGCGATCAGCACTCGGTCGGCGTCGGCGCGACATTGCCGGGCGGTCGCGAGGCGCAGCCCCGATTACCACATTCGCGACACATCGGTAAGCGGGTCATCACGAGCCCCGATGCCGCCTGCCCGGACCTGCAGCGCCAGAGGGGCGTTTCCCAGCAAGCCAGGAGGCGCAGCTCCAATTACCACATCCGCAACAACCGCAAGCGGGTTATCATTGGCCATGGCTCAGCTGCCCGGGCCCTCGAATATTCAGCATCAGACGGGCGTCTCCCAGCAGGATTTGGACGATTGGCATGCTTGTCATGTGTCCATGTGTAGCTTGTGAACATCGGCCATCGCTGCCATACGTGTTCCTGATTCGGTGGACAGATTGGTCGCGCGTGAAAAACGCGGTAATCTTTTGGCGAAAGAATCACGAAGGAAAGGTCGCATTGCCTAAATGTCGTACGGAGTCAGGGAAAGCTAACACCCGAAGTTATTGGGGTTTCGGGCATGGGTGATAATACTGGAATGAAAGCACTTTGACGCACCTGGAGTATAACTGCCGGTGGTGAGCCCGCTATCACTTCGTTTTATGCTTAGGGATCGAAGGTTTTGGGATGATCACATACGTCCGTAAAGTTAGCGACTTATTTGGCGACAAGCTCCGATTTACATAAAAACGCCTCGGATGGTTAATTGCCGGGCGACAACACTGAACCTGACGTCTGTTTTTTCAATGTCAGGTGGCTCTCAAGGTCAAATGACAGGGAACGTCGCATCATCCCGAAGTCTGGCGGTCGGTTTCTTGTGAGAGATGGGGTTTACATCGCATGAGCTACCATGAATCTGGCAATGAAGGGCGGATTTGAGCGGCCAGGACCTCTTGATAGACGCTAGCTTACTTGCTAGGAAGGATTCTGACGGTTGAAAATGCGAGATAGGCCGGTAACTGAGCGATATCGAAAACATCCCGGCATTTAACCTTGAAGATCACGTGGTGTTGAAAACAGACACCAGAATCGGTGTTCTCGTACCGTAAGTGACCACTCGACATGTTGTCCATGCAATCAGAGAGATAATTCATGCAAAAGTCGTCGATAAATGCGACAAAATAAGCCTGTAACTGCACGGACGTCGGTCGCATTGCATTTAAAAAGCTAGCAGAAGCCAATGCCATTTAAAAAAGGCCGTTAAAAATCGCACACCAAGTCAATACGCTCTGATTAGCCCGTAATGTAATACTGTGACTTCCTGGATACGGGATGCTGGGATGCTGTACCTGTGCTAACCTGCGCTGGATGTCGTGTCCTGCCCGGGCCTCGAGCCGGGTCTGTCGGCATACCCCGTAGGCATACCGACAGCGGATGGAGACCTGTCGCGGTGTAACACACCGCAGTCAAATCCAAATATTGGTCTGCGTTGTATGTGGAGAATCTCTGACAAAGGGCCAGTCTTGGCCGGCTAGGTTCTTAAATCGCGATGTGTTTGCATGTGGATCACCTTTTGAATTCAGCATAATCCAGCCAAACATCATAAACAAACAACAGCTTCCGACAGCTGGGCAGGTTTGATCACCTTAGACCAGGCTTCGCTCGACTGAGTTAGGGTAGGTCAGGTTATGAGCTCAGTGATTGGGCGATGATGTTCGGCAATTCGATGTGCTGCATAGAGCATATCGTACATAGTAAGTGCACATTGTACTCTCACAGCACAACTTGCCTGGTTTACACACTGACGCATAAGCGAAGGCCACAACATCTCTTGTCATGCCTTCATATCGATACGTTCTGGCACAATTACGTGATACGCCGTGCGGCCGGAGCGTTTTCTTACTACTACTCCCCACGATGCTCATTTCGGACCATTCATCCTTCCATCATTATCACTGACAGCCTTTACCACATGTCATGCGTTCTTCAGACTTGCCATGTTTCTACTTTTAACGGCACCATACCCACACAGTATTTTGCTCCACGCAATCTTCTTCTCACCAGCTTTTGCTGAAAACCTCTAGCGATACGCTCGTTTGCGCCGTCCGCTGTCGTCGTGGGATCGGCCGTTCCTGCAATGAAGCAGCCCACGTCTTGCGGTTGACCAGCCAGCGACCTTGCATAAGCGTGCAGATTGACAGCGCAATGCTTTAAGTCTTACCTGTTGGGTCTTTGGGCATAGCTGTGGCGTCTTAGCTGTCGCAGGAGGGCGCAGAGTAAACATTTCTTCAGAAAGGACGGATCGCGCTCAGGGCTGGGAAAATGGAAGCAGGTGCACGTACAGCGCGAGATGGAGAGCCCCATGCCAACGCAATAAATAGCGCGATCAACATCCATACATTAAGATAAATTTGAATTCGGTTTCATCAGCCTATTGGACAGTCAAGACCATTTTCGTTTATCATTTCGACAACCCATCGTCAAACATGCGCGTATACGGTGGGTGCTAGCAGACCATCAGGAGGCACGAAGATGCTATCGGATTAAGACACGCATTCCCGGTTGGCGGACGCTCTGAGATATCTGGGGGACCACTAGCAATCAGGGCGTCGCGGTGGAGTACGGGATGGACGATCCGAGGTAACGCGCGATCAGGGTACCTGACTAGTGAGCGAGGCGGAGCGCGGCCACCACGTGATGGTCGAAGGAGAGCTGAGGTAAACGTAAGGGACTCCAACAAAAGTCCCTCTGCATGCGTTCGACAGTGATACAGGGGGAGCAGGATAAGACACTGAGGAACCACGGAAATATCTGGGGCAAGGGCAGATCCGTGGTCTGGGAGTCCAAACCGATAGTGGGGGTCTGGCAATAATTTGGACCCCGCCACCAGGGGGCTGCGAGAGACCCTGAGGGCATATGACCCTCCCCTGGCGACGCTTCTGCTATGGAATCAAGCGACCCGAGACAACAGGTCATGCTCCACGTCCATAGAACATGTCAGCCGCCCACTCAGGCCTTCAGGGGACTTTCTCATGTGCTCATGTGACCGTGCGGTAGTTTTTAAACAAAACACAGCACCCTTTTAAGATCCATTTACAATCCTTTGCTTTGGGCCCTGGTGGGCTAGAGGGTATGCCTAGCAAGTTTGCCACAAAATAATTCAACCTTCAGGTACTCCCATTCTAAATTCAGAACTAGTTGTTCCCCAGCCTTTTCATCAGGTCGAGAAGCGAGAATGCTTTCGCGTCACAAAGAGTGTCCAAAATTTCGCAGGATTACACCACCATTCATCTCCAGCAAATGGGCGGAAAATACGGCATGACAGGCGAAGTAACGACCGGGGCAACGTTATGCTAATTTCACATTTGTGGTTTTAATTTCGGCAGATGTTTTAAGCTAATTCTCCTTGCCATTCTTCACCAATGGCTTGACAAGAGGCTTAGAACCCTTCGAATTCGCTCAAACTCTATCAAAACACAACATGACGTCAGGTACCATTCAACCGGACGTAGCTTACGTGAAAGTAATACTAAGCTTATTAACTGGCCATCTGTCGGTAACTTGTGCTGCCTTTAGCAACGAACGCTTCGGGGCTAATGCCGTGTCGCGTCATATCATGGCACATACTGCTCTTCGCCTTAAAAGCTCACATCCCGGATGTTGGCGCCGCAAAGAGGCAACAACAGGAATAAGACGGTCTCTTTCCAATCCATGCATGAGTCACCAGGCTCCATTACGCCTAGGTTTATGACAAAATGTAATATGCAGCTTATAGGTAAAACGAAAGGCATATAACGCATCACATCATTGATGGCATTTTCGTGGTATTCAACATTTGATCCCAGAAGTCAGCAGCCATGTCATCAATATTTGCCATCTCACCACCATCAGAGGTAATAAAGCATTGCGTCACAATAACACACACGCACACACACACACACACACACACACACACACACACACACACACACACAACACACACACACACACACACACACACACACACACACACACACACACACACACACACACACACACACCCACACACACACACACACACATACACACACATACACACACACACACACCACACACACACACACACACACACACACACACACACACGCACACACACACGGTGTATACATACATATATATATATATATATATATATATATATATATATATATATATATATATATATATATATATATACCGTCCGAACACGTTATTCGGAAAACTGTAGCTGCATGTAAGCCGCATTTGTCACCTGACGCTAGAGACATTCACAGATATGATTTCCCTCACCCACTTCACTTGCAACGTTAACGTACAGGGCTCATCATGGCCGATCATGCGAACGTAATATGTGCCTGGATATGTGATGTGTGATAGCTTAAAATCGTTCACATGTGCAAGTGATGCCTGGTACGTGATGCGCGATGCCATTTTAAGTAGCATCGCTTGCATGCATAATCGATGTGTGATGTGTGATGCCTGTTTACTTCAACTCTCTTGCATGTTTGAATAGAGCGTGATGCGTGAAGCCCGTTGATTTGAATTTTTTTGCATGTACACGTTTCTTTTTGCGTGTTCTAATGTTTAATTAGACGTGCACTGTATCGAAGTAGTGACTGGCCATTGTTTCTTGTTTAACTCCCTGAATGTTGGTGTCCTGTAAAAACTATGGCTGGCTGTTTCAAAAACAGAAACCTGAAAAATCGAGTATGATCATCGGCAGGAAATTTTAAATTTATTTCTGCTCTTGCTTCGATAACGGCATGTTGCCGGAATATCAACACATCTATATCTCCATTATCCTGGCATTTATCGAGGAATGAGGCTGCTACTACTGTCTTATCTATGTGAATAATGTCTCTCGCGAATGAACTTAACAACTTACCAAATATCTAACCGACATTTCGTTAACACCCATATTTGTATCCATGCCCGCAATTTTCCCAAATTCCGTACACAACTGATGGGTGCCCATGAGTTTAACCAAACTGTGAAGCTCTCCACCTGACGCTTTGCTTAAAAGGTAACTGCAAAAGCAAAGAATTCACCAAAAATATGCCGAGCTATGCCAGATTCTTTACCTCCACATTGCCGCTTAACACAGCATCTCGCGGGATAGTCAAACCGTCGACGTTTTAATGTTCTTCAAAACCACAACTTGCTTTAGAGTTACTTCAGTGCAATATTTCCCAACAGGCCTTGCCAGCTCATTGAAGGTGGTGATGTTCGGAGGCAACCAAAAGCATCGTGTCATGGCCCGTGCATTAGAGAGCGTTGGTCATCGAGTATCTGCGACCCAATCATTCAACTTCAACATACATGACGTGACAATACCAGAGAACATCTAAATGGAGAGAATTATGGTGGCCCGCATAAAATCCCATATCGGCTCAATGGTGGCGCAAAGGCTGCCTTCTCCGACAAGCTGACTTCTCGGATCATATGAGGGGTCAAGTCGCAGTTCACGTCAAATGAAATTAAGCTGAAAGAGGATGATAATGGCGTTCCGATAGTAACGTTTGTGGCCTTAGCCAAGGAGCAGTTCTGGAACAACGTTATGCAGGCTGTAATATGTTCGGTTTTCGTATCCATAACACTTCGTTTCCAGTATAGTCACCCATATAGGCGTAAACGTGCGGACTTCGTATTTACTTGTAAATCAAACCGTGCGTTGTCAGAAGAGCAGTGTGCTTTAACTAGAACTTTTTGTCCGAGTTTTGCAAATGATGACCCACTGAGAATAACAGACATGTTACCAATATTAGACACCGCGCATAGTTCCCCGTAGAAGCGGAGCACCATATCACAATGGAAGCTATCAGGTGAATTTTTGCATTTCATTCTATGCGTCCTCGTCACAGTTGCCTTCCAGTTATGGTGTTCAGTGACCTTTCCTGGTTGGGCACGTTTACGCGGTCTTATGAATGACCAACGTTTGGACGTAATGTCGACTAACCGTGACATAGCGTCCAAAAGTCATCCGGATGGAAGACCATGCACGAGCCCAGCCAGCACAGGTCACGCAATTCACCGAACCTGCTAAAAACGACCGGAGTCTTTCTGACACACACATATTTAACTGTACAGTTTTCACGTGGTGTCTTAACACCCTTTGTTGCATGAGGCTCATTGGGGGGGTAAAGTCTCAACTTTTTTGCTTAGAAAAATTGCAGCACTCAAGTCTAAGGCAGCGCAACGCGCATTTTGAAGGCATCTATCGAAGCACCTAAAGTCGCGACCCCTAAAGGTCGCCAACACCGTTGAGCCACATCCAATGCATCACAACGTATTGCATGACAATTACATGCAACGCACGTGCAGAAAGAAGAGCTGCGTGTTAAACGTATTTTCATGTGGAATGGATTTGCACCCGCACTCATGGCGTCGTGGAGTCGTGCATTACCACCATTGTCAATACCATCAATTTCTCGTTGAGAACGTCATTTGACCAGTACCTCAAGGAATGATGGAGGTCGGTCGTTATCGGAATAAATTTCCTACCTCACAATGCTGAAAAGCCAGGAGTTTCAGGACTTGCTTGCCTCTATCAGGCAAAGTGTCATAGATGCCGGGACGAGAAGACCATTCATGACTCAAGAGTACAGAAACTCACGGTACAGCAGGATGTCCAGATAGCACAAAAACTCCAAGAGCTCAAAAATATCGAGGTCGCTTTTAACGTCAAAAGTCGAATCACATTCGGTAAATAATTGCAAGATGCTTCACGCTTTTACTGGGGATCGTCGCATGCACGATAAAAGAATGACTGCGTTTCTGGATCAGTTGGACCACGCTTAGACGCAATGCACGCAAAGGAGCAAAGCACGCAGCACGCTCACGTGCGCAAATAACTGAATCGCGCTTTACCCTGTAACACCAAGACTTCGTGCCAAAAACCCTCAATGAGATAACACAATTAGAAGCAACGGTTCATCTAATTAGAGTTTGCGATGTAAACTGGCTCTGCCTGGTTTGCCGAGCCCGCAGTACGTTCGCAACGCAGCCTTTTGTTTGGATGCATATCGAGCGGGGAACTTCTAACCAGCGACAGTCTCAGAGAGGTGCTGATCATGCTGCGCACATCACAACATGGGAATCTCCTACCTGTGTACGTCAGCTCGCCGCCGAGTCTTCTCCGGCTCCCCATGTGTGCGCCGGGGACGGCGGCCGGCCGTCCGCCTCACCTTGAGCACCGAGCGGCGCCGGCTGCCGGGGAGACCGCGCGGATATACCCGGCCGGGCCTGGGGCGCGAGTTTTCAGTCCGAAGATCGACGCCGCCCCGGCAGCGATGGCGGCCCCCGCTCTGCAGGTGAACACGCGCCGACCGAGCGCCGCCGGACCCAGTGAACGGGGATGACGGGTGACTCCTCCGCCCCCCCCCCCCCAAAAAGAGTGGTGCCGGTGGTGGAGCACGCGTGGTGGTCCTGTTGGGGTGCGGTGATTCCAGCGCGTGGTGGCCCAGGGTGGTGATGGATAGGAACAGGCCGTGGGACAGTGCAGTCCCAGCTCCCGTCATGCTTTTACCTGAAAGTTAATTGTCGCAATGTCTCATCGTATTACGATGTCCAGCAATATTGTCTCAGAATACAGCGGCGAACAAAGCCGAGTGTTTGCCAGACGCGTCATCTAAATTACAAGCGATGACTTATCATTTCAAAAGAGTCTTGAACGAAGTGATCGCAGGTTACGAACCGCAAAACAATGTAGTGGTATTTGTCGCTTCCATCTTCTTGGACAGCCAGTGCCTCAAAGTCCACCTCAGCCAAGAAATTATGAGCGGAGGAGTGAATTCGAGAACGAAGGTTGTCAGGCCTGTTAAGCAGCTTTAGAACGAATTTTATTCATCTGTCGCTTTGATGCCATTTCATGACCATTTTACTCACGAAGGTGGTCGTGAGCCAATATCGCACACGTCACGCTTTGTAGATGACACTGCGGAGGTAAGAAGTGGCCACTCTAAGGCAGACTACGCAGCCGCGGTATTTGACAAAGGATGGCAAGCAACATTTTGCCGCACAGGACCAAGTAATGACTGACTCGGTTGGAGCCCTTTGGATTTAAGTCATGAGATTATAGCAGAAAGATGAGAGCGCACTGTCGTTTGTGTTCGTCTATCGTTGGCGAGTCTAACGCCCACGTCCCACATAATCGTTGCGCATGTTCGGCACTTTGCGCCATGCATTAACCATTTTTTCCTCTTACACCCTTTCATACCAAGACGGCAAAATTGTGGCCCCCAGTGGTGACCCTGACCTGATTTCCGGCGGTTCCCCGGCATGGCCCCGTCCTCTGACTCGCGTGAGTCCGTCCGATGAAGGTCTCCTGGCGTGATCCCGTCAGATGACGGCCCCCGGCGTGACACCGCCCGCTGGCGGTGTCCTGGCGTGACCCCGTCTGATGTCGGTGTCCTGGCGTGACCCCGTCTGCTGGTGGTGTCCTGGTGTGACCCCGCCTGATGTCGGTGTTCTGGCGTACTCCCCCCCCCCCCCCCGATAACGGTGTCCTGGCGTAACCCCCGTCTGCTGGCGGTCCCCTGGCGTGACCCCGTCTGCTGGCGGTCCCCTGGCGTGACCCCGTCTGCTGGCGGTCCCCTGGCTTGACCCCGTATGCTGGCGGTCCCCTGGCGTGACCCCGTCTGCTGGCGGTCCCCTGGCGTGACCCCGTCTGCTGGCGGTCCCCTGGCGTGACCCCGTCTGCTGGCGGTCCCCTGGCGTGACCCCGTCTGCTGGCGGTCCCCTGGCGTGACCCCGTATGCTGGCGGTCCCCTGGCGTGACCCCGTCTGCTGGCGGTCCCCTGGCGTGACCCCGTCTGCTGGCGGTCCCCTGGCGTGACCCCGTCTGCTGGCGGTCCCCTGGCGTAACCCCCGTCTGCTGGCGGTCCCCTGGCGTGACCCCGTATGCTGGCGGTCCCCTGGCTTGACCCCGTCTGCTGGCGGTCCCCTGGCGTGACCCCGTCTGCTGGCGGTCCCCTGGCGTGACCCCGTCTGTTGGCGGTCCCCTGGCGTAACCCCCGTCTGCTGGCGGTCCCCTGGCGTGACCCCGTATGCTGGCGGTCCCCTGGCTTGACCCCGTATGCTGGCGGTCCCCTGGCGTAACCCCCGTCTGCTGGCGGTCCCCTGGCGTGACCCCGTATGCTGGCGGTCCCCTGGCTTGACCCCGTATGCTGGCGGTCCCCTGGCGTGACCCCGTCTGCTGGCGGTCCCCTGGCGTGACCCATTCACAGGCTGATGTGACCCCGTCCGATGACGGTCCTTGTCGCAGATGCTGCCGCTGCTGCTGCTGAGCCTGACAGTCCCGCCGGCCAGCCCGGCGGCGCTGGTCAACAAGCAGCGACAGAGCCCCGCCGATACCCAGAGCACGTCCGAGGCAGACGCGCGCATCATCAACTACCAGGGCGAGAGCTACCAGGACGGATACCACTTCCAGTGAGTGGGCTTGGCGCGCAAGCAGCTGCAGTAAGCGGCGGCGCCGGCCTCGCAGCTGTTGCTGGCTAACATGATGCGGTGTGACACGGATAGATGACACGTCGCACCGTGTGACACGGGCACATGACACGTTACACCGTGTAACACGGATAGATGATACGTCACACCGTATGACACGGACCGATGGCACGTCATACCGTGTGACACGGACCGCTAACACGTTATACCGTGTGACACGGACCGTTGACACGTCACATCGTGTGACACAGACTCATAACACGTCACACCGTATGACACGGACCGATAACACGTCACACCGTATGACACGGACTGATAACACGTCATACCGTGTGACACGGACCGAAAACACGTCATACTGTGTGACACGGACCGTTGACACGTCACACCGTGTGACACGGACCTAACATACGTTATATTGTGTAACAAGGGCCTATGGTACGGGCCGATAACGCGTCACGCCGTGTGGCACGGGTCGATGACGCGTGATACTGTGTGTCATGAACCTATGACACGTCATACTGTGTGCCACTGGCCGATGACACGTCACGCCGTGTGTCACGGGCCGATGACACGTAATACCGTGGGCATACTCCGGTTGTGAGTCTTGTGACGAGGGAAACAGGACACACACTTGCAAACCTTAACAGATCGGATGCACGATCAGATTGATCATTGTGAGTACCGTGCCGGGCGGCAGCAAATCACTGTGCTGCAGCTGTGAGACGATCTTCACGATCTCGTCAGGGTCAGTGTCACGGCCTTGGGAGGCAGCAGTCCGACCCGCCGTCGCGAGCCGGTGACAGGTCGGCATAATCCGATCGCTGGAGAACATCGGCGAATGGCACGGGTCTCCCGCAGCAAAAATGGACAGAATACAGGGTGTCGAAATAGCGCCGGCCCCTCGGCCGGCGCCCGGTGCTGCGGCAGACAGCTGTTACCCAATGGCAGGGCAAGGGACGGAGCCGAGTGGGTGGAGGCCGCCCGGGCGACTCCGCCCGCACCTGCCGATGCGGAGTCGGGCGCCGGCCTCCGGACCACGGTCATGTGACGGGGTGCTCCCACCGGGCGACCGTCGACATTCGCTTCAAGCGGCTTATCACATATGTAAACAGGGCTTCACCAATACTGGTGAATACTCTTGGCAGCTGTCTTGTCATACAGTGTCGCGAACGGCTGGACAGGATGGTGTGGGGACTGAATGCAGCTCCCTCTACGAGTTTTGGGACTTACATCGGAATAGCTTTAAGCGCATGCACCAAATTTCCAGTGCACGGTAAATGATTCATTTGACGGAGTTTGAAGTGGCCAGAGCTTCGAAGTTATGCTAGTCGGTTAAGTTATGACGCCATCAGTGGTGGTTCGCGCAACGATTCTTGTCCCCACGTGAAGTAATTCGCGGGTTTCCTTCTTATTTTTGTTGTTTTGATGTCATAAATCAACCGGTTTGGCTGTCTGCCAGTTAGGACATCTCGCATCGCATGAAGCCACACTGCATCAACAACAGAGGTCATGTGACGCACAGTTATGGGTGTTGAAACAGTTGTTGCCATTTGTGATAAAAGTCAGCGCAACTGACACCTTCCCAACTTAAAGTTTTTTTTTGACACGTGCAACGGGAAGACCAGATAAGCTGCATCAAGTGTTGCGAACAACGTTCGTTTGCCATTTGTGACTATTTATCACAAATGCCAAACAGACGTTGTCACTTGTGATAAGCAGTCAGTGTAACTGGCACCTTTCCCAACGTAAAGCTTTTTAATATGTGTGACGGAAAGACCAAATAAGCTGTATCAGGTGTTGTTAACTGACCTTCACCTGACATGGACTTGACCCCATTGGCCATTGCCAATATCATGTTGTAATTCTAAGGCGCAAGATCCGGGTGGTTAGTGCCTGTTACAAAGCAATACGAACAGTGATATCATGGATTCCAGGAGAATCTGAAGCCAGTCAAGGTTTTGATGCCTTTTGAGCGCTTCTTTGCTTTACCCATGATGTCATCAGTCACGTGACAGTATCAAATGAACGGTTCCTCAATGAGACAGACCAGGGCTTCGAACCGCCCTTCGATTTTTTCCATCCAACAGTGAAAGCCTGACATATCGATCAAGGGGTACCTGAAACACACCTCCCCAACGGTGGCGGCTGAAAACGTCTGGCGGGCGATGCTGTGTGAACATCTGCCCCTTTTGCAGCAATGTGGCCATGCTCAGTTTTGGCCCTCAAATGTTTGGTACACAGGTAGCTTGGCCAATTTTGGGTGAAGCTCCTCCTGTTGCCTGCCCGGACGAGCACATGGGCCGCGTGCTGCTATATTCACGGCGAACGCGTCACGACCTTGGCAGGGAGCGCAAAGCTCGACATGTTTAAGATTGCTGGAGCCTACACCTTGTGAATAAATGATGTAGTGACAATGAGCTTGAAATGGGATTGCATGTATGCACATATATATATATATATATATATATATATATATATATATATATAAATCTTCCCCTTCATTTCTTGTCCTTAAGACGCCTAATTTCGGTGTGCTGTATTGTCGTCGTACATATCCTGGGACGGATTGATCGAAGCGCGGCATTCTAACTCATTCATTACTGGGCTGCGGAATTGCAATCAACCCCGCACGTCAGTCAAAACATTCATGCTTCAGTTTGTTTTGATTTCTCATCGCAGACAATGGTATCACCATTTGTGAATTTGATCAACCAGTGCCGAACACTAACATGCCGCCAAACGGGCGATGCCTTGAAGTGACGTCATATCGAAGCCATTGGGCAGGAACTGGTTATGCCCAAATGTGCAGTTCTTAGCTGTATTCTTTTGTTAAACATTTAATTTTTTGCTTTTTCATCTGGCTAAGTTACTATAACTGACTGGTGCTGCATGTGACGCAGGAGGTAATAGATGATTATGCCCTACGCCCTAACGTGAGGAACGTGACGCTGCTTACCGTTTACGTGATCGCTCAATTTACGGTTGTCGCCTTGATCTTACGGACAATGTGGAATTGAGCACACGCTATTCACTAATCTCAGCTTACGGTTGAGAACATGGTATGACAATCGATAGGCTCCCCGGGAATGCCTTACCATGTCTTCGTTTCTAAGTAGCACTAACCGGATCAGTGAGAGGAGCAGGCATCAGATCTGGCACAATGTAGGCAAGAGGTAGGCAGTTATGTGGGACTCAGATATCTTCGTTATATCTACAGCAAAAGAGCCCCTGCTGACCTCCTTAGGACATCCCTAAGGGGCCACCTAGAATGCTCCTGCTGACCTGGAAACACGTCAGGGCTCTTTAAAGATCAATATAGGACCTGACATCAGACAAAGCCCGCAAAAGACGCAGCTGTGCTGAGGCATAACTTCCGCTTGACTGTGAACAAGTCGCATGTCGGCCCGCAAAGGGAGAGGGCGGCAGGACTCTGGACTACACACAAATACAGAAGGAGGCCATCCACGGGAGGAGAAGGAACGCATCCAAGGGGCGAAGAAGGGATCCCATGGTTCATAACTCCACACCCCTAGATGTCGCGAGTCCCATGATTCATAACGCCACGCCTCTAGATGTCGCGGGCTCCATGGGCCATGACGCCACACTCCTAGATGTCGCGGGCTCCATGAGTCATAACGCCACACCCCTAGATGCCGCGGGCTCCATGAGTCATAACGTCACACCCCTAGATGTCGCGGGCTCCATGGGTCATAACGCCACACCCCTAGCTGTCGCGGGCTCCATGGGTCATAACGCTACAGTCCCTCCTGTGAAGCTGCTAGGAGCTTACGTTATGAAGGGGCTTTAGGATCTGACAAGGATAGTGGTGAAAATAGATATGGGCCTAGATGCACACACTCGCAGATAAGCATCCAGCATGTAAAAGGGATCTTTTGCGTCCGAGGAGGAGCCACACTGTGCAGAGGTTTCTAAACCGCCAGCGAGGTTCTGTTCAGAAACGTGCTGCACTGGAGAAGGGTTGTACCCAAGTCACTCTGCTCTTCCTTGAAGGCCTAAAAAACAACAGATAAATGCGCAAAAAACCAGCCGCCGGCAAAACACACAAAACACCGCCGGCTACACAAAACACAAACACAAAACGCAAGGACTGAAGGTGCCCCCGGTGTCGTGCGGGAGCGGTGGGATTACTTGAGATCTAGCAGATTCCATTTTAGACTAGAGCCTCTGAATTCCAAAGCGTTCCGCGGGCTTGAAAGAGCTGTAGTTGTGGATTTTGTCTTGACCTCCGTCTCAGTTAAAGGCTTCGGTCCACAAAAGAAGGCCCAGAGCTTCGCAGGACCTCCCGTGTTTGAGAAAAGCGGTACCATTTTTGAAAACACAAGACATCCATTCTGAAAATGAAGCATCAGAACGAAGGGTTCTTGCTGGAGGCCTTCCTTGAACATAATTCATCCCTGGACTTATGTTTCTCAGTCTTTGTAAAGATCCCTGGAACCTGTAAAATTATTTAATGGTTTAGGACAGGCTGTCCGAATCTTATGAGGCGCCTGGACTTTAAAACAGACCTCTCTGCTTCTGAAAAGAAATGTACAAACTACGGCTAGATTGACGGGTTTAAAAGTGGGCATGTCCCGGTATCTATCGATTGGCGTTATCAAGATGCTTACATGAAGCCCATACAAATCTCCTTAAAACTTGATGGGACCCCTTCTCGTCGCCCCTTGATAATTTTGAGGATCCCTCGGTGTTCAAAGAGTCGTTGAGCCGCGCGGAGGACTGTGGCTTCAAAAAGGGGGCTTCCTGGACCGTCACCGCAGCCAAGGTAACATACGAGTGTGGTGCATTAAATGTGCTGCTCTAAGACGGATGGTGTTTTAAAGTCGCCGCCCTTTCGGAGCAATTGACATTTACAAGCGCGACATGTCAAAAGGTGTCGCGGTAGTGTCATTAGTTCAGCCGGTCTTGAAAACACTAAGGCGGAATGCGTGTATTCCACTGGCACAAGAATATCATCGAAA